GCTACAGGTAGTCCTTGGTTTATATCCCCGAAACCTTCGAGCCTAGACGCCATGCAGACTCTTAACGCTGGAGCCTGAATACGAAGCCTGGAGCGCTTTGAGGTTCGGTGGTGGAGGCTATCGACGAGTACAAGTATGACAACACAGGAGCTAAGAGTTTGACCTGTGTTGTGTTGTTTCGGATGCTTGTGGGGTTGGGCTTAAGGCGGTTTGGGTGGAGGGAGTTGACTGCTGATAACACGAAGCCGAGACTCAAGAACCCACCTCCACAACCCTAGTTGGTTTGGAGTTAGGGGTCGGGCCCTTTTTTGGACCAAACCCCATAGAAGGCCATTCACTTGTGCAGTAGTTTACTGTCCTTTGCACAGGCAAAAAAGGCCGTGCTGCAACCCGTGCAGAGCAACCTAAAATCCAGGTAATGGGACGAAAGCAGCGAAAAACGCACCTTCACGGGAACATGGCGGCTACTGCAGAAAGCCTTTCTAGGAACCTGCGCAGGCCCTGAATCCTAAACCTTTTAGGAAACCCTGCGATTGAATTTTCAGTAACTAGGTAGGGCTTTGGGACATTTTATATTTTCCCTTACTGGGCTTAAGAAGATCTTATTTACTAATATTTTTCAAGAGCTTTAAAAGCCCCACCTCGGTAAGGAGGGCCCGCAGCGCAGCTGGCCGCACATCCGGCCATCGGCCAATTTCTGCTGGCCAACGCCGCCACACAAGGTAGGGTTTAGGGTTTAGGGTTTGGAATCAAAGGGGAAAAGGAGGGACCTTTAGGAACCCCTACCCTATAATGGGCTATATACTGCAAGGGTTCGTGTAAACACTAAGCGAGTACTTACTTGCACTCCAGATGGGCATGTGACATGTGTATGTGTGCATATCTATATATATATATATATATATATATATATATATACACACATGTTTTATGCATGTGGGCGCGAGTTCATGGCTAACCTATAAACCGGTCAAAGGCACAACGCGTTGGAGGGACTGTCCCGTGTTTCACCGGAACATTACGACAACATCCTCCAAGATTTTGCTGCCAATCTCCCACATTGCAAACATTATAGACGGGTTCCTTCAACATCCTTCAAGGGTCCTATTGAAGGGCTGGAGGATGGGAGCCTAAACGTCTGCCCACAATCAAAGCACTCTCTCGCTCGCTCTCTCATCTCTCCTTCTGTCGTTCTATCTCAATTTCCTTCGCTCTCTGGAAGGGCTTGGGCGATTCGGGAATAGCCCGCCAACAGGCCAGTTGAAACCGGTGCGCGCTGGAAACTGTGGATTGGGTTTCCGGTTGCACGCCCGGCTGGCAGCCGGTGCAACCCAACATGAAAAACGGGCCCCTAATCTGCGGTATTCGCCCAAAGTAGATTTCTTATTCGTTGGGAAAGGGAAGGCCTTTTAAGCAACAACAGCAGGAACAGTCTGTAGATCTAAATCCCGAACCCTACACGCCCAACTTCAATCCTGGTCAAGCCCTTGCAATGGCTAAGGGTTCCGGGTTTAGGGCTCAGGGTTTCAGGACCCGCATAGAGTGGCATAGCACAACTACAGCAACGCAATCCGCAATCAGGTGCTGACTATGGGAATCCCTCAGGTACATTCCGAAAGCACGGCAAAACAATGCCAGATACAGCGAGCTTACTGCCTGAAACGTAGGTACTTGGACGTCACTAACCTAGACCTTGCACCCTATATATATATATATATATGTATATATATATATATATATATTTATATGACACATTTCGGGTACGTTACAAGTCGCTTGCAGGTCGCCCTCACGGGATCAGTTCGGTGCGGCGGGTCCTCCGCAGTTTAGCTTGCTTAGGGGTTTAGGGGTTTAGGATTTCGGGTTTAGGGTTTAGGATTTAGGGTTTAGGGGTTTGCGGTTTAGGGTTTAGGGTAGATGTACAGTCCTAGTCTTCGGAGCTAAGCATAGACATCGATATGCCTGGACATTCAGAGGAAATGGGTTTCACAGTTGATGCTTGCCGGTGTAAACTGTAAACCTTGTTCATGGACTCGGCTTGCACCTGACTACACACCAACCATGTACTTCCCAAGATGCTAGCATACAATTACCACCACCTCAAACCAATCACTTAATTCTGTGGTGTTGTGGACGCTTACGACATGTTGAAGCGGTTGTACGAGTATTTCTGGAGGTTGAATGCATTGTTGTAGTTTCAGAGAATCCAGGACCCGAAATAGCCCCTGAAATGTACGACTCTACAGCAGTATTTGAGCAGCATTTCATTCAGGTCGAGGAGAGAGGGTTTGGATTTGGGGTCCGTTGCAGGAATTGTGTTTTGTTTTTTTGTTGTGTGTGTGTGTGTTTTTATTTGGGGGGTGGCATTGAAAGCTAGGATCACAAAAAACGACGCGAAGCTTAACAGAAGCTGCAACAAAAACGTTGCAACACATCATGGTAGCAAACCCTGAAGTCTGAGATGTTCCCTTATGTTCCCGTATTACGATGCCGCTACAATCGCCATGGTAATTCGACCAGGGTGCTGGGGCACTTATATTAGCTAGGTATTCCGAGGAATGCAGCCCCGAACAGATTATGTGGGTAACCAAGCCTAAACGCCACGTTATGGAGGGTGTGAGACAGTGCGCCACCAGGTGAGGATTTATTTCGGAATGCTGTCAGTGTTAATTTTACAGATTTTTTTCGAAGTTTGGGGTCTGGGATTCAGGGCGGTTGGGGAGTGACGGTGAATTGTGTGGAAGCCCTTTTGGGTAGCAGTGATCCTTGGGAAGAAGATAGGGAGACTGAGGAGATCCGACGAAAGGATCCTGAGTCCAAGGCTCCACCCCGTTCGAGAAAGACAGACGCACCCACATGGGGGTTTCCGAAAATAGGGGACCCTAATAGAGTACCCTAAATAGTAGGATCCTGATTAGAAGGACCCCCAAAATAGGGTACCCCAATTTTCGGAAACTCCCACATGTATTTAGGGTTTAGGGTGTAGATGTTATTCCGGTTTTCTGGTCGGATCAGGTAAAGCGAACACCGCTTTGATGGAGAAGGGCGTGACCAGCCAGAAGCAGATGTTTCTGAGCATCGTACATCCCACCCGCCTGACAAAAGCAGGATTATAACTAAGAAACGGGCCTAAATACCAATACTGTATTGGGGTTCCTCATTATACTGGTAGTATACTATGCCACCAAAACCCTATTCTTACTTTTTTAGGCCCGCATGTATCAGACAGGCCGAACGACCCCCTGAACCTCGGACTCTGAACCTTGTACCGTAGGGTTTAGGCTTTAGGGCTACCCTTGTATCTCACACCCCGAAACCCTCGGGCCCCCAAACCCCAGACGACATCCCTAAACTCCAAACCCCCGACTGATTTGGGAGTTTCCGAAAATAGGGGACCCTAATATAGTACCCCAATTAGTATGATCCTTGTTATAAGGACCCCCAAATAAGGCACCCCTAATTTTCGGAAACTCCCATTTATGATTGAAGCCCAAAAGTTGGAAACCCATTAGCCTCAAACCTTAAGAGTAATGTATGGGGAGTCCCAGCACTATTTGGCCTTCATCCGGTTTCCAACTTTATGGGGTATACTGTATGCGGTTCCTCATGTTTTTGTTGGGGCAGGCTCCTTAATCTGACCTTTGGCTAGCAATAGTAGTTATAATTGTACCCCATTCCTCCATTCCCTACAAGCCAAAGGCAGGCTATAGGATTATTAAGGCCCCTAAATTATAGTACCCCCAGAGATCCCCTATAGTAACCCTTATAGACCCCTTTATCAGGCCCCTTTCATTCCCTACTAACCAAGGCTAAGTACTTGGTTCTAGCCCCTAACCCCTATACCCTAAACCTCTAAACCCTAAACCCCTAAACCCTAAACCCCCCTCAACCCTAAACCCTAAACCCCGAAACCCTTAACCCCCCCCAACCCTCAACCCTAAAGTGATTGGTATATACCCTTAATATAGCTATCATATACCCATTATCTAGCCCATTATAGGGCATGGGTCCCCCTTTAAGGGTCCCTTCTTTTCCCCGATGACTGGTTCTAGCTGTTTCGGCCTCGGGGCTTGGGGCCTCTCAGCTGACTTCAATGCCGCGACCATCTCCGGTAAAGTCTTAAGTTTTCGGGTCGGTCGTCGGTGGCTCTTTTCGTTTGTCATAATGGTAATATTTATTACTAGTATGAAAACTAGGAAAAGCAATGGAAATACCAGTAGTAATTTTAATGGTAATAGCCCCCCCCATTATCACAAGACTTTGGAAACTTGGCGCTTTCCCTTTCCGGTTCATGCAGGGCTTGTTTGAGTTTCAGGCTTCCTGACTGAGCAGGGGTATTGTTTCTCTGGAGCCAATGGCAGATGTGTAGTTCTCTAAATTGGGGCCCCTTTGGGGGGGTCCAAGAACACTACGTCAACCTGATATAAAAAAGGGCGCTGCAAGGGATCCTTATCCATATTCTCGCGATCCGAACCTGAAGCCCTACATGTCTCCTTTTTCTATGGGGCTTAAACAAATACCAATGTTATTGTTGGGGTTCCTGGCGACGATTATCGTAAAATATGCACCAACACCCTATTCCAATTATTGAGGCCCTACAACAAGAGAACTAAACTGAAAACCTGAGCCGCTAAACCCTTCCTGATTGCAGCATCAGTATAACGACAGGAGAAGCACACCGGCATGTGGGTAGATCGATATCGATATATATATATATATATATATATATACACATATACATATATATATATAATAATATATATATATATATATATATATATATATATATATATATAATATATATATATATATATATATATATATATATATAATCGCATGCTTCCAGGTTTTTGTGCCGCAGCGCGTTAAGATGGACAAACGATGGACAGTGACCGAAAGCATCGTTTCAACCCTGATTTCATCAACAGAACCCTGCGCCGAATTCTAGCGCCAAACCCGAACTCCAAATCAGGTTCGATGTGATCAATGGCTACCTGAAGATGCCAGTGCCTGACTGCGACGAGGTCGCCTATGTTCAACAAGACCTTGGGTTCAGGGTTTAGGGGTTATAACTGGTTTAGTTGAGGGTTTGGGGCTTCCTCCGCCTTTAGTATCTCTCCTGCTACCCCCGCCAACTAGAATTGGAACTTGAGCCTCATGCCTCAAAGCAAATTATGCTGAATATCCCTCATACAAGGAAGGCAAAGAGTAGGGTTTGGGCCTTGAGACACTGAAGGTCTGGGATTCGGAGTTTAGGCTTCAGGGGCTTCGAGTTTCCAAAATTTCCAAACCTCAGGCTCTATTCCCAAAACCCGAGACCCTAAGCCCTAAACCCCTAAACCCCTAAACCCTAAACCCCTAAACCCTCTATTCCCAAAACCCTAAGCCCTAAACCCCAACATCCCCAACCCCCCAGTCCCAAACCCTAAAGTTCAGCGTTAAAAGCGATTCGGGTTTACAAGGTGTGTTGGAGCTCGAAGGGCTGAAGGCTCATGCAGCTATTAGGGCTTGCATGTGTAGGTACATACATTTTAGATCAGTACTATAATGTATGATGCTATTTACACACTGTTTAGGGTTTAAGGTCAATATATATATATATATAATTATTTATTTATTTGTTTATTTGTTTATTTATATGTATATGTACATAAAGTCTAAAATCTGCACGACTCTATAAGCCCTCGGCGTTTCTGGGCTGGCATTCAACCATTGAGCCACAGCGTATACCGTTCACCTAAAAGGTCACAGGCGCACAGAAAACCTGGAGACTAAATGCATGCGAAGCGCTTTTCGTGCGGGTTTTGGGTACCTCTTGTTCGGAACTCGGTGGCTAGGCTGACAACCAGAGAATTAGGAAAACATAGAGTAGTGTCTAAACAGCCACAAAAACTGTTGTTTTGTACACATATGCCGATATTTGATATCAGAACAGCACGACGAACTAGGAAATGTCAGCCATAAACTCAATGAAGTCTTGCGTAAGCGGCAGTTGGTACCTCCACGAACTCAAAGAGGTATCTAGGTATCTAAAGAGATCTGGATCTCCTCGCATGGGACGACGAGGGAAGGGAGTCTTGGGACCTCTGCCGTCATGAGTCATATGACGCAATATGTGCCGTAGGCTTTTTCAGCGCCAGAGGTCTGGGTTGCCGTTGTCAGAGTTGGCGAATGGATGCTCTGAGGAAAGGGTCAGAGTTGGCGAATGGATGCTCTGAGGAAAGGACGAGGTCTGTGTGGACGTTATCATAGTTGACCTATGGATGCTCTGGGGAAAGGATGAGGTCAAGGAGGTTGACCCGTGGGTGAGCTGGAGAGCGAATGTGGCTTAGGTGGACGTTCTCATGGTTGACCCATGGATGTTATGGGGAAAGGATGAGGTCTGGGTGGACGTGATCATTGTTTTGGGCCCTGGATGCTGTGGGGGACGGATGATGTCTGGGTGGACGTCATCATGGTTTTGGCCCGTGGGTGCAGAGAGCAACGGATGAGGTCTTCGCGCACAAAATCATGGCTTTGGCCCATGGATGCTCTGAGGGACGGATGAGGTCTGGTCGGACGTGATCATAGTTTTGGCCCATGGATGCTCTGTGGAACGGATGAGGTCTGGGTGGACGTTAATTATCATGGCTTTTTCTCATGGATGGTTTGGGGAACGGATGAGGGCTGGGTGGACACTATATGGCTTGCCCATGGATGCTCGTGGGCAAGCAGGAAACTACCAGGTTTTTCACGCGCCTTTTTCCACCTAAAAGGGTGCTATCCAACCCTAATCTCAACAGTGACCTATCAATGCCAGCTTCGTTCAGCCGGTGTATTGGCACAAGCAAGTCCCCATCATGACATGCCTTGCACAGTTCCTGAAAAGCCGGAAGCACCACATTCTGTAACCTTGCCAGACGGCGACACTAGCGCTGAATGCCCTGCGCACGGCGCTTCCTTCTTTGCGGTTCCCGGGCAATGGCTTCAGGCGTAGGGTTTGTTTAGTGGCCAAAGTCCTTACTATCATTACAGATAAAATTGCACTACAACATACCAGAGGATTGGAGGTAGCAGCTTGAGGTTTAGTATGTGAGGGGTGAGATTGCGAGATCCGACAGCTTGAACTCCGGGGTCAGTGTTTCACACAGCCGGGCCTTTGAGAGTCTGCACTGTGCGGCTTCACGGCCTTGTTTATTGTTATAACAATAATAATAATAGTTATGTTTGTCGTCATCGTCGTCGTTGTTGTTGTAGTAGTCAACACTATTAATGTATTGGTTTAGTTTTACTAGCATTATTATTGCTATTCTTACGTACATCATGAGGATCAGCTTCTGACTCCTGCAAATTGAACATCCTGTCTAGCCCGTCCACGAGTTCGACTTTCCATATATACACTACCTATGTACATGCACAAACCTCTGTAATGCAAAGGACCAGAACACTAAACGCAAGCTTCAAAAGATCCCTTCATGCCGCCCGAACAGGAACCGTCGCAACAGAAAAGCAAATCATCTTCTCAAATTCTCATGACCTGGCTGGAGTTCTGGAGTGGGCCAAAGTTCCAGGTTCAGGGTTGGTGTTTAGGGTTTTGGGTTCAGGGTTTAGGGTTTAGGGATCGCGGAATAGAGTTGAGGGCCGAGTTTAGAGTGTAGGGTCGAGGGTTTTGGGCAATTTGGAAAGAGTCATCCGGGCTTCAGCAGGGGGTTTTGCATGCTTGTTGATTTATCGTGATCAATCGTGTAACACTACGGAAGCTGCCAGACCCTCTTCGCACCCGTCTACCCCTAGAATCCCCAGAACCTCGCCAGGTTTTGGACAAGGCTTGGTTAGCAGATTGTTAAACAGATACAATCACAGTTTCTAGTAAACAGCAAAAACAATAACACCCTAGGGCTCCTTTAACCTAATTACTAACTAGGCTGGGCAGTAAACTGCCATTGAAGTGACCGTCCATCGTCGAAAACAGCAAACGGGTAGTTGGTTTAAGGGTGCCTTACAAATTTGGTGACTTAACCAGGGACCCTACTTTCGAGACCTGCCCAAATCTTGTCCACCTTTCCCTGGTTTGTGCGTGCGGGGGTTTCCCATTTTCAAAAATAGTAAACAGTATACTCTACCCCCAACCCTGAGTCTTGTATAGCAACCTTATAAGGTGCCCTTTATAGGAATCTTATCTTAGTTGTTAAGGAAACTAAGGCTCCTGGTCACATTTGACGCCAAAGTGCAGGGCCTGGCTGCCGGCAGGCGCAAGCTTTGCAGGGTTTAGGGAAGTTTTAATTCGACCCTACCTAGGGAGCCTAGACCCGCAAATAAAACAGGGTCAGTGGGTTGAACCCAGGGTATTACTTCAAGAACCGGGGTTTCGTAAATCTAAATCCTTAAGAGAAGCTTCATAGGTTTGCAGTTGTCAGGGAAGCAGAAAGTAGACCCTGACTGTAGCCGAAAAGCCCGTGTTTCTTGGGTTCCTTATCATGCTTTGTCTATCTGGTTATTTAAGAAGGCAGGGATCTGGGGCACAGGTAAACCCTAAATCCTTAACAGGAAATTCACAGATTTTGGGGTTCTGTGTCAAGGAGGAGTATCGCTTGCTCGTGCTGTTAAGTTCTTACAGCAGGGCCTGTGAACCTTCATTTCCGTAGATGTTCCTGATTCTGGACCCCTGATCCATACACCCTTGCTGCCGTTTTCAGGGATTCTTACAGGGATTCTCAGATCAAGGGCCGGGAGGACTGGATAAACGCCTCTGTCCGATTTGTAGCTTTCTGGGTTTTGGGGCTTTTTGTGGGTTTAGGGTATGTTGGGTTAGTAGGATGAGCAAGGCGGTAAGCTAACCTCACTCGAGGATGTCTTGGGCTACTTTTACCCTAAAGCCTGTAGAACTCTATAGAAACCCCATTAAGCAGTGTGAGAAACCAAACCCTAGACGCTAAACCCCTTCCCTAGATTACTTCGAAAAAATCCTAAATGTATTGTGTAGGCTAATGTAGGGGGCAGAAAAAATCAATACTTATCAGTACTATTCTTGGGGTTCCTTATCGTGATTACAGTCTACTCTACCCCCAAACTGTCTTCTGTTTATTGCGGTCCACATCTTAGCCCTCGAGGGTTCAAGTTCCAGTACAACCCTGAACCTCGATAAGTCACGAGCCACTCAACCCTAAAGCCCTCATGTAGTGTCTCCTAGTAGTGGAGTAGGTAACCTTAAACCTTGTTTGGGTAGTATAGTCCCTATATTATCCCTATATAACCAAAAAGGTTAACCTTTAGTTTTTCATGATACCCGACATGCAGTGCCTAGTGTGTTGTAGCCCGCAAACCATGATCCAAGTCCTCAGGCCCCCACCTAGTAGTAGAGTAGGGATCCTTTTACCTTTTCAGGGTAGTATAGCCCCTATATAATCCCTAAAGGTTTTAACCTTTAGTTCCCCATGATACCCGACAAGTCGGCCTAAAAATCCGCCGCATTGCCCTCAAATAATCCACCGCAACACCCAGACCTTCCAAAATCCCTTAATTAAGGAATATACCTGAAATTATAATAGGGTCCCTAATATGATTTAAGGTGTATTGCTTAATTAAGGGATTTTGGACGGTCTGGGCAGTTCGTGTCTTTCACACCACGTGTTTTCAGCCTCGTTAAATCCTAAAGCCCTAAACCTTAATCTGAGCTCTTTGGGTTGAGGAAGCCAGATTTAGAGTATAGGGTTCGGGCCCCTGCTTGGGACCCTCATGGCAACCAAGCCCAAGCTATGGATCCTAAGCCCTCAACTAAGCCACAGAGCTCTAGGGAGCCGGGACCCTGAACGCTCTTATCCGTAAGTCCCCTCCACCACCCCCCATGTTTTGCAGCAGGGCACAGTTTTCGACGGCAGATCACTCCGTGAACTTGGTGCCTTGCCAGGACAGGTTTCAGTACTTGTAGAAGATTAGAGATCTGGTTCGGCCTTTCTTCGTAGCAGAGGAAGGATCCGTTGTGCCTTTGGTTGTTGTTTTTCGGAAGTGGTCGTTGCGATACTGCCTAGATAGCGCAGAAGGTAAGCCTTTTGTTCCCGTGGGAAACCGGACAAGTAGGTTTGGGGCTGCCTGGCTTCACAGCTGTTCTGGTTGGCCTATGCAGATGTTCTAGCGCTTTGGGATGCAGGGTGTCCTCAAGCTGGATGCAGCCCTTCTACTGTAGAAGCTTGAATAATGGCCAATATTATTCCGTAGGGTGCTCCTAATACTATAAAGGAGCCACAAAATCCTATGCCAAAGGCCCCTACCTTACTCCATGTACGTCATCCCAAAGGCGGGGAAGCACAACTTACCTGACGCCTTGAGAACTCGGCTGGAGATCTTAAGGAAGTGCCAGGGGATCTTAAACTTAGGGTCCTTATTATAGGTATACTATTATAAAGGAGCCAGAAGTCCTATGCTCATTATGAAGAGTCGTTACCCCTTTGGTCAAATTCGCTTCCCACATGGCGCAAGGGTTGCTTGCTGAACAAGACGCCACTCTCCATTTAAGATATTCCCAAGAAGAATGCAAAGAACAAAAGGAGAAAGACTGTCATATCCGGCACGGAGCCTACACGGCCGTGTCCATGCTGTGTCCACCAGTTTGGCCTGCAGCGTAGAGCTTAAAGTTTATGAGATCACGGTGTTGCTGATTTTGCGGTGTATGTTTTTTGTTGGACCCGTCGTAGTTCTCTCTGAGGTTTTGTATTTTTGCATACATCCGAGTTCCTTGTGCTACTAGTACGGATCCGACAAAACTAGGACTAGGAGCCCTCCTGGTATGAAGGACAAATAGTCAGGACCCTTGGACCCTTTAAGGACCTAATAGTGGGGTACCTGGAGGCATAGGGTTTCAGGTTCAAAAGGATTCCCATCAGCGTTGCTGTAAGGGCGCTGCAGTGGTTTTAGGGAAGAACCAATTCACTGTCGCACCCCTGAAGGACTGCTTTGAGACGTGTTCCTTCGTCCGTAGCCCGAGAAAGTAACAAAAAGGCCCGAAACCTAAAACCTTCCCTGCCCCGTGCGTGCAGTCCTGAGTCCTGATGTTTTCGGTTGTCGCTGCGCCTCCACCCTGAATTCGGAGCCTTACCACGAACGGTTCAGGTTCGAGGTTTAGGGTTGATCATCAAGAAGGAGAAGACGGAGGTGTATCTTCAAATCCTCGCCGTCCATGACGGAATCCTCGACGAGAAGTACATCTCATCATGATATCGCATTCAGCAAGACTTGCTCTCACATCCATACCTAGCCCCTACTGTATATAAACGCTCAACTCCAACCTCCTAATACTCCCCTGAGGCTCCATGTAGCTATATAGTATACACTTAGGCCTTAAAGTACCCACATAGGAATCCTTTTAAGGCCTATGTATATACCACATGGCTACATGGAGCCATTGGGCTCCAGACCCCCGAAAATTACGATGCTGAAATCAGGTCTATGCCTCGGCTGTACCCATCAACGTGCCTTTGCCAAAAGCCGAGGTCCCTCTTGCGGTTTGGGGCTTCTAGCGTTTAGGGCTTACAGGGTTTATAAGGCTTAGGTTTTATTGGGTTTAGGGCTTTGGGTTTGGGGTTTTCGGTGTTGTGTTTAAGGTTTATCCCTCATGAGGGATAAACCCTTTGCCCTCTAAACCCGAGCTTTGGCGATCAAGGGCGTAGAGTTGAAGGTCTGCGAGTTGTAGGGCTTCGGCAGGCTTACGTAGGGTTTATAGGACTTAGAGCGAAAGATTTGGGATCAGAGGGTTTCGGACTTGGAACTTCAGATTTAGCACCTGATGTCGGGCGAAGGCTCCACATGTGCATGGCTTGATTCATTCCGGTTTAGGGTTTTGGATTTTGGGTTTAGGGGTTTTGGGTTTAGGGTTTATAGGGGATTACACGCTGTTGTTGCAGAGATGTCGAACTTGCGTTCGTTCAGGCAGGGTCGCATCGGCCCGTGAAGCTCTGTGGCACCTATAGTCTCCACTGTAGTTCCTTTTTGGGGTTACCTTATAGGACTCTTAATATATAACTGGTTAAACCAAAACAAGGAACTACAATGGATATTATAGGTAGCATCTTCACGGCACCCTCTCACTAGCTTTGACACTTACCCCACACGCAGAACACTACAGTAAACTCCATAAAGTTGGAAGCCGAATTAAGGCCAAATAGTGTTGGGATTCCCTATGCATTAGTCTTAAGGATTGAGGCTATTGGGTTTCCAACTTTTTGGCTTCTATTGTAGCATCTTCACGGCACCCTCTCACTAGCTTTGACACTTACCCCACACGCAGAACACTAAGGCCTAAAGCCGAACCCCGTAAATCTTTGTACCCGAAAATCATCAACGACACCCATGTTATACAGAAAGAGCTTGCGGAAAATTTGGAAGCGGGAACATGGTATTTCTTGCGAGCCCTAAACCTCGATATCCGGTCGGCGATCCGTGCATTTATGGGTGGTTGTCAAAAGATCCCTTTTTGGGTCCTGATGATAATACGGCACCTAATATTAGGGGTACCCCAAGAGGGACCATAATTTTGACAACCACCCATACGTCGCAAATGGGTGGTGTCACGTAGGGCCGAGACTGCATGACTTCGACTCCCCTCCGGAGAGACCCCTAAAGCACTAAGCCGAGAAGCCCTCGTGCAAAGGCCTAAACCAAGTGGGAGGTTCCGAAAATTAGAGGCACCTGATTTTGGGGACCTTATAATAAGGATCCTACTGTGCAGGGTTACTATATTAGGGTCCCCTATTTTCGGAAACTGCCAAGTAGACCCTGAACGCCCTCTAACTGAACGCCGTAACGCCTAAACTGAAGCTGCCTGAGCCCAGTGTCCCAGACCTTCCAAAATCCCTTAATTAAGCAATATATATTCCTTAATTAAGGGATTTTGGAAGGTCTGGGGTTATTGACCAAAATAGACGTGTCCAGGATTCGGGTCATTTTTCTTTGCCGTGCCTTTATGTTTTGGGGGCCGTAGCCCTGAGCTGAGGGTTTGGGATTCGGGAAGACAGTTGGGACTACGCTTCGGATTAAGGGTTTGCAAAGCACTATGACTATAATTATAGGCTATGCGGCTCAGCTAGTTGCAGGGTCAGAGCTCTCAAAATTGAAGGTCTCGTCGCCAAGTTTTTGTGCGTGTGTTCGGCTAGTCACAGCTGCCTGATGGCCTCATCTACTGGAACCTTTAAACTTTATCTCTGCACCCCGAACGCCGAACGCTAAAGATGGGGGGGGTACATGTTTATGTAAATATAGATATATGTATATTTAACTATATATATATATATTTATATACACGCGCATCCCCTTTTTGCATGTATGTATGTATGTAGGTAGCCAAGTAGGTAGGTAGGTATAGGCACGCATGTGTGTATGTATTTATGCAGGTATCTTTTTGGTTGACACTTGCTAATTTATTTGTTTATCTATGTGTATCTGGGGCCTAGGGTTCCATGCATGTGTGACGGAGACCTCAATGTTGATTTGTTTAGCTACCTATAGTATCCACTGTAGTTCCTTTTTGGGGTTACCTTATAAGACTCTTAATATATAATTGGTTAAACCAAAAAAAGGAACTACAATGGAGGCTTATATAGGTACTATCCATGGTCTTGAATAGACGCTTCCGAGGCGTATGTCAACGGCATCGGGGCAGTGCAGAAAGATTTCGGAGATGCGAAGATGCAGGCGCGTTGGCGAAGAAGACCTAGACCCTCCATCTACCCTCTATTAGACCCTAAATTCCCCTTATTTGGGACCATATACCCTTATTTGAGGGTACAAGGAGGGTCCTGTGACGCTGGGCATTAGGATCTGAAGTAGACCCTGGACCTTGAAAGTAGCCTTTAAGCCTGTGCGCAGTCATTCTGACCTCGAAACCGGCAAACCACAACATCCTAGCTATACTTATAGGCCCTAAACTCAACCATGAACTTAAACCAAAAAGTGGTAGCAAGAAGTTCAACCCAAATCAAAACTCCCCGGGCCTCTTCGACAGGAGTTTCAAAGCACCATCGCCCGGCTCTTCCTGCTTGCCCAGCAACTTGGTCTGCTATCTTCTGTCGGCTTCTTATTGGCTGTAAACTCAACTTTTCAACTTTTGGGGTTCTTATAAGGTAGTCGATTCTGATAGTTTCAATTTTTATTTCCCTGGGTTTTGGGCCAGTGAGGCTTAGGGTTTCAGGATCTGGGGATTTAGGGATGAAGCCGAAGGGACACAGGGTTTGGGAAATTCAGGATTAGGTATGTACACCAAGTTCTTTGGAACACTGGTTCACAGGACTGAGCATTCCTGTGGGGTTTTCCGAGCTCGCTTCCAATGTTATGTGGGGGTGGGGGGCTTGTAATAATAGCTTGCCATTGCTCTGCTCAGTATCATGACGGTTTTTGTTACATTCATGTTTGCCACCGCTATATCAGTCATTGCTGGCAACATCTCTGTATGTAGTTTCGTTATTAATGCAGTTGTCAGCTCTGCTTTGCTCATTTGTTAATCTTGTTGATCGCGCAGCACTGATTGTGTTAAGCTTGTCTCTTGCAATGCCTACCGTTCTGGGTTTCTGCGTGGTAAAATGGGCCCCGAAACCATACTCTACCTATAGTCTCCATTGTAGTTCCTTTTTTTGGTTAGCCAAAATCTCTATTATAGGATCCTAACCATAAAACTGGTTAACCAAAAAACGGAACTACAATGGAGACTATAGGTACGTCTTAAGGCTCCTATGTTAAGGGGTCCTCTACGGGGGAGAGGCTCAGTTCCAAGAACTGCCAATTATAATTGGACGTCTCAGGACTCATATAGGGTTCCTTTAAAGGGATCTTTATAAGGGGTCCTTTAAAGGGAGCTATAGGGTTTAGGAATCTCAGGACTCATATATTACCTATAGTCTCCACTGTAGTTCCTTTTTGGGGTTACCTTATAGGACTCTTAATATCTAATTGGTTAAACCAGAAAAAGGAACTACAATGGAGGCTATAGGACTTCTCTAAGGGTCCATGCACCCATGCAGCTTTTCCTTGGCTTGCGAGTTCCAGTTAAAAACTGAACTTCTGGTTCAGAAGGAGTTGTGCCTGAAGTGTATGACTATTACCAATACTATTTTGGTGGTTCCTTGTTTTAAAAACAATACAATTAGGCCCAAAAACCTTATTCTAATTTTTAAGGCCCCTATCATTATAGCACCCTTATAGATCCCTTATAGTACCCCCGTAAGCCCCTTAAAGGAACCCTCTTCCATTTATGAGGTACTTTGGCTCGCTTCGCACAGCGGCGAACTTCGCGCGCGAGTCCGGGCGCCGGTCGAAAGTCTTCTTGATGCCCTTAGGCCGGGTTCCGTACCCTAAACCCTAAACCCGAAACCCGCAACCCTAAACCCGAAACCCTAAACCCTAAACCCTCAACCCTAAACACTGTGTGTTTAGGATTTAGGGTTTTAGGATCCTTTTTTGGGTTCCTTAAGGGGATTTAAAAGGATTCGATTTAGGGTTTCCGAAAAACAGGGATACCTTATTTTGGGGTCTTTGTAATAAGGATCCTATTATTGAGGGTGCTATGGGATCCGTTATAAGTCTGTGTGTTCCTAGGCCCCCCAAAATAATGGCCCTTTTGTGGAGCCCTTATGCTCTTAAATAGTGGGTATTTAAGGTATAACAGAGATTAACAGAGCGTAGTTGGGGGGTCTGTAGATCTTGACAGAGACACCCATGGACAGAAATATCATTTATGGTCATTTCTTGTCATTGTAGCCCCTATCCTTTCAGCGGCTAGAGTAGAACAGCCGGCACACTTATCCTTTTATCATGAACCCGAAACTCGAAGCCCCGGTACTCCGAAGCCCAAAATCCCCGTACTCTTACCTAAAGCTTGTCAGATCGGCATCCCCACAGCCCGGAATTGACCTTGGCAGGCGGAGGTGTCTTCCGGAATCCATGGGAATCGATTGCTGCTTTGCTCATTTTTGAGGCTTCAGGGCCATATGATTGGCTTATGGTGTCAAGTTCTGGAAAAGGCCTAGACCTGAGCCTTAAACCCCAAACCAGACCGTAATTTCCCCAAGCCCTAAACCCTACCTATAGTCTCCATTGTAGTTCCTTCTGGGGGTTACCTTATAGGATTCTTAATAAATATCTGATTAAACCAAAAAAAGGAACTACAATGGAGACTATAGGTAAGCCCTAGAAGCTGCCCCCTCCCTGTAATTGTGGTAAAATAATCGGAATATAATTGGGCCCCAATATAATATTAATATAATCCTTATGGTCACTATTACAGGGTGGGGGCAGCTTCTAAGGTAAGCCCTAACCCGAAGTTTTTAGCGTTTAGCGACCCAGGTGGAGAGCATCGCCCGGGCTGTGGAGCTGCTGCCCGAACAGGATTTGGAATGGCTGGTGACTGGGCGTGCGCTTTAGGGTTTGCGGGCATAGGACTTGTAGGGGTTGCATGTAACTTTCTGCGTTTAGGGTTTGGACTTTGGGGTTTAGGGTTTTGGTGCTTAGGCATGACATTTACATGTACATGATAGCTTTCAGCGTTTCGGGTATTTAGGGCTTCAGGGTCTAGCAAGGGGGTGCAGGGCAATGCTGATTGAGATCCCAGCCATAGTGCCCAAATGCTCCAGGCGCTACAGTCTGCAAATTTACTGGCCAGTAAAGCCCCTGACCCGGGGCCTTAATTGTCAGAATAGGCTTCGGGGGCCCATTTTCTAGATTCTCATAAGGAGCTCCCAAAGTAGTATAGGTAATTTTTTAGGCCCCCCAAAAGCCCTGTACACCCTTTGCCCATCAGGCCATGTACACCTGGAGATCCCCGAGCCGATGCCTTTATTCGCCTTGGATCATAGAGATCCTTAGGGGTGTGTAGGTGGAGGGGGGGTAGGGGGCCTTAAGGCCCATAATAAGGACTAATAAGGCCTATTTAAGGAAATGTAGTCCTCTACACCCCTCCCCCCTACACCCCTAAGGATCCCTATGATTGGAACCCTGCCCCGAAACCTTAAACGTTAATCCCTACCTATAGTCTCCCTTGTAGTTCCTTTTTTGCGGTTACCTTATAGGGTTCTTAATTTTTAACTGGTTAAACCAAGAAAAGGAACTGCAATGGAGAGTATAGGTAAACCCCAAACCCCTGAACTCCGTACCTCTTATCCCTGAACTCTAAACTCCTAAACCCAAAACCTAAGCTGCAGCTTCCATGAGTTGGACGTTCCGCCGTGCGTGGCATCCTCACAGTTTGAAGGTCAAATCCTCTGGGCTTCAAAACGATTAGGTTCTTATGTGCCAAGCTTGCGGATGTTTAGGGTTTAAGTTCAGGGTTCTGGATTCAGAGCCCCGTCAGACCTTGAAAAGGAACTAATTAACGGAAGTTTAGGGTCTATCGGATTCATAGTTACTTTAGGGTTTCCCGGTTTCATCGGGATGTGGGGTTTAGGATCCCTTCAGCCAGCCGGTGGTCACCTCACAGCAGACTTGACACAGCTTGAGCATAGCCCTCGTTGACGTATGGGCCTTAGTGTACTTGGGAATTCCGTGTGACCTGCGGGGCACAATGCACGGTAACTGGTTATGGTGCGCGTTTTGTTGCATGTGCCGGCTGCTTGACAAGGTACCGCACGCTGTGCTGAACTTTACCAGATCCAGAAATTCCGTACAGCCCTCCCTCAGGATTTTGTGTGTTTGTGTCTCATGAGTCTGCTTTAGGGTCTCGGAAATTTTGGATGTAGCCCCTGGCTGGCTCTAGGGTGTAGGGCTCAACAGGTACATCTCTCCGGTCGGCTATTCCTAAGTTGGACATGTAAGGTTTGATCTTCCGGAATCCTCACTCTGGGACAGTTCAGGGTTCGCTTCGGTAACTTGCCATTCAACTACAAGAAAGAAAACCCTGCAACTCTAATTCTTACCGCCTCCATATCTTAAACGCTAAGACCACGATAGAGGAGCCCCTTTAACGCACTACTTCTCAGGACATCGGGCTCCTCGTCCTCCGGCGTCCCTCGGGCGGCACAGACCTCCCATCGGCAGAAGAGCGCGCCCCGGACGGACGTTATCTGTCTGGTTCTTAGTAGGGAATGGGGGAATGGGTTATTGGGACTACTATTGGGGATTATATGGGGACTACTGCTGGGATCCATTCCCCCATTCCCTTCTAAGCACGGGGGAGTTGTTTTTTGTGGGTTTGATGCAGGGACTTTAACAATGAGAACATGCAAATATGTCAAGAAGTTTCTTCTATTGATTCAGGCCCCTATATTGGGCGCTTACGGATTTTGGGGCTAGGCAAGTTTATGGTTTACGGTTGTGGGGAAAAAGGTGCCCGGTGTGTAAGGTTTGAGCTGTTGGCTTTCGGATTTCGCGGCCGGATTTGGGTCAAAGTCAAACCCCAAGGGTCCAAGTCCCCAATAATCATATACTCTCCAAAATCCTAACCTACATAACTACTATCCTAAAACCGAGTACATTAGTTAGTGGGTCCTTTCGACCCCTGGGGAAAGGTGAGAGGAATGTCGGCCCGAGGAAGGGAGGGGGTCTCGGAGCTCCAGCCTAAACCCTACGCCTAAACCCCAATAATAAACCCTAACCTAAGCCACGCCCGCTGCCCCGGGATCAGGGGACCCAGAAAGTAAGGTTATGAGTACTCCAATTGGGGTTATAAAATAAGTAACTATAAACTTTGTTTCTGGATGTATAGCCTTGCTTACGTACTTACTTAGTATTTCCTGTGATCCTTTGCATACGGTTTGGCCTGCCGTTGCAAGAGCCCGACAGTCTGAGCCCAGACTGAAGACATTGACTGATCAAGCTTGTTTGAGCACTTCAAAGCCTCAACTTGGTCATAGTTGGGTAGCATTTTACATTTTATGGGTACTTAAACCCAAGAAGGAATCACAAATTTACATTTTTAACCCTATTCCAACCATGAACTAGTCAAGCTCTGCACCAAATGCCGTCAATCATTAAACCCTGAAATCACGACCCCCAAGCCTACGCCACGAAACCCAAATCCCAAAGCCCAGTCCAACACCCGAAGACCCTCACTGATGTCAATGTGGCTCCCCTTGGAAGTCCTTCACCCAAGCGTCGCAAGAGATCTGCCGAAAAAGAACCCTAGAGCCCCTTAGCCCAGACGCTCCCCAAACCTTACATCCTTAATCCTATCCCAGACGTTCCAAGTACTCCCTATTATAGGACTTTAGGGCCTTGTTGCGCCACAGTCCAACTACTTGGACCCTTCGGGTATGTACAAAGCCCTTTAAAGCTCATGAAAGCTCATATAATATAAGTATAACACACAACAGGAGTAACACGGAACTAATCATAAACAAATCCGCTGTAACATGATTCAGAAGAGACCCCACAACTCCCTAACCCCCAAAATCACCCTATACAGCCCCAAACCCTATCAAGACCCGATACCACCCTAAACGCTAAAAAGGACCCCATTCAACTCTGAGCCCTATATAGAGCATATAAACGAGCCAAAAAGTCCCTATCATAAGGAAGCATTGAGCTCCTCAAGTCCTTCCGGAAGTGGAAGCCCGACGCATCACATGCTTAGTAGAGTAGGGATTGGGTTTAGGCTAGTTTGAATTTAGGGTTTAGGATTCAGGGGCTACTGAGTTGAAGGGTAACTATCCTTTATTAGCCTTCTTGGGGCACTCTAACCCCGAATGTAACCTTGAAGGTTAACCTTGTTTGCCTCCCTTCCAGATTCCATAGTTCGTCCTTGTAGTTTGTATACTTCGTCCTGGTTTACTCATCATACATAGCCGCCCGTTGTAGGCGGAATTGCAGCCGGAAAGAACTGGAGATTCAGCACCAAGGGTGTAGAGGGCAGGGTTGTGGGTTCGGGTTCGGGGGGTTGGAGTGTAAAGTTGGGTTTAGGTTTTGTTTAAAGCTCAAGAGGATTTAGACATTCGAGTTTCGGGTGCATGGGGCATTCTACTTGTCGTGTGTGGGTACTAAGGTGCAGAACTGTAGAAGCAGGTTCGTTCTTTGAATGGAAGATGACAGGGAGCATGGAAGAGAACAATTATACGTTCATGTGATTTGAACTCCACAGCTCAAGACCACAAGTAGTTTGTACGCACATATACCTATACACGTGGATGTATGCATTAAATTTTGTATTCCCACGTTTATGTACGAAGTTATTCAAGTATTGCTGTGTGTGTGTGTGTGTTTGTGTTTGTATGTGTGTGCATATACATATAAATGTATATACACATGTGTATGCATATATATATATATATGTATGAAACAACACACAGAATACTGTACATATTATATATATATATACACACAATCTCAAAGTAAAGCTACATATATAGGTATATACATATATGTAGATATATATCGCATTACACATAATTATACATATATACATATATATATACACACATACATACATACATACATACATAGAGTGAGGTTTAATAAACCATTGTTGCTAAGCAGCGTGAAGTAGCACCTGCAGCCAGCACAGAAGCTTCCCCAAAGCCTGGGAAGCTCCGAGAGGGACTCGTCCGGAAAAGGGATCTGCCACAGCGACAAAGCAGCGCGGATTGGGGCTTTCATGCTGTACTACCTATATAGGTAGGGGCCTTGGTAATTACCTACACTGCTGTGATGGTTCCTTATTATTATCGTATCATGGGCCCCAAAACCCTTTTGTGACTATCAAGGCCCCTATATTAGGCCTTGGCGGTTTTGCTGCGGTTGTTTTGGGGTCTGGGCCTTTCGGGCTTTCAGAATTGAAGGACCTGGTTTGGGTCGCCCTATATAGGAAACTCCAGAAAGTTGGAATATGGTTTCATGGTAGGATACCCTATAATTTACCATAGAAGGGTTAGGATAATCATATTCCGACTTTCCGGCTTTTACCTTACCCCAAGCCTAGAAAACCTAAGCTACCCGCTCTTCTCACTTACCAGCTGCACTGGGTTAGCAATCGCTCAAACGTAGGCCTGGAGCCCGGCTCGCTGACTCTAGGAGAACAACAACCGCTACTCTACGGCGCCTGCTTAAATCCAGCCTCCAAGATCTTTCATCATCCTTTGCCAGACTTGGAGCAACTGCTACTAGGCTCTATCAGACCAGTATTGACCATATCTTGGTGCATCCCGGTAGAGAGCCCGACCTGTGACTGTGAACCGACCAGGGTTTACCTTGAGCCCCTAGCCTAAATCCAGCACCGGAAGTCTTGAACCCTGAACGCCCTGAAGCCTAAAGCCAAAGCTGTGCGCCCTAAGCTTCCGATCTCGACCGCATGTGCCCGAACCCTGTCCTCCTTGGGGAGACTCGTGGAGTTCTAGTCTTGCAATGAAGGTTTAGGGTTGTAGGGTTTAGATTCTAGGCTCGGAGTCGTTTTTGTTTGTCATATGCTCGTTACATAACTCACAGGACTACCACCTCAAATCCAAGTCCCTGATTTTCGGACCCTTTGGATCCCTCATGGGGGTGCTGGAGGATGTATTCGTTTGCCTGTAGATCTACGCGAATTATCGCGGGGCTTAGTAAGCGAGGTTGTATATACCACTGACGGTAGCTATAAGTAATCATAGCTATTCATGCTAGAATCTCATAGGATCATACTATGCGGTTTCTGCACTATTACTTGCGTGAAATTCCATTTACGACCCGGAAAGGCCTTATTGAAAAAGCCAATCGGGTTTGCTTTAGCGCTGTTGTAAGGACTCTCGATGGAAGTTGTACATCTCTGATGAGGGTTAAGGACCCTCCCCTCATCACTTCCGGATCATCGTGGGTTACGGGAAATGTTGGGAGTCTTTGGAATAGCAGGAAGCTCTCTCTAAGCCCCAAACCCTAAACCAGATTCAAAACCAAAGGCCTCAAGTCGTTCGTTAGGGTTGTATGAAGACAGCTCACAAGTCTTGCAGTTAAGTCCGATGATGCCTTGCAGCCCGAAGCACGTGTTGCAGTCCACCGTCCGCATCTCTCATCATAAGCCTCGCACAACTGCATCTTTCACCACCCCAGTGCCATTATTAAAGTCAGTGTACAGCTTCAGTTCAGCGTTATATGTAGCCCGTATTGCGTTATTTGCTGTGTATATATTTACTTATATATATATATATGAGAATAATAACAACAGCAACAATAATTCTACTAATAACAATACTGCAGAGGGACCATGAGGGAACCCTATATACACCCTAAGACACACCGGGTGCCTGATGCGATGTTGTAACGGTCCGATATTCCTCCGGAGGATGCGCTGGCAGAGGTCACGGTCATGTCAGATTGGAAGGACGCCTGTTGGGTTATCCCTGTAAAGGGACCATTTACCCAACATACTAAGTTCTGTGCATGAATGAACTACGTACCCGTATTGAGGAACCCCTGAAGGCCGAGATACTGGACTGTTTAGATATTTGGCATAGTTTGGGGTTTATAGGGCTTATAAGGTTTTACTTCACAAACCCCTGTGCTTGGATTCCGAGGGCATCGCCAAAGCTTAAAGGTCAGTCTGGGCGTTTGGTCGGGCTTGGTAATTGTGGAAACATGCGTTCGGCTGCTTTGTGCCCTTCACTGCACACCTACATAGGTTCAAAATCTACAACCCTATACAGCCTAAACCAATCGGTCTTGTGGCTGAGACTGCTGCCTCCCGAAATAGTAGCCGTGACCTCTGAGCTGCGGGTTCAGGGATCTTCTTCCTGGGATGGTGGGATATGTTTTCAGGTTTCGGGTATATCCAGCCACCACCGGAGGAGACCCTGCTTCGGGGGCTCCACATCAACATCGCGTGGTTGGAACGCCCGGGTTTCGCCTCGTGGACTACGAGGGCGCAGTGCATAAGCGAACCTCCACCAGAGCAGTTTCTCGGATCCGAGCCATCTCTGAGAAAGCCTTCCTTTGCGGAAAGTCGTCAGTCATATGCCGGCTTCTCAGGACGGCATACCCGAGGAGCTATGTGCAGCTTCAGTCTGCGCACAAAAATTCGCGAAGATCTTCAACCCCTTACCCATAGGCCCCAAAGTAGTTCCTTTTGGGGACTACCTTATAGCATTCTTTAGATGAGCCCAAAAAGGAGCTACGGTAACGGCATATTCCAGTCGCTCAGGCTCCCGAAAGGACTGTGAGCCCGAAGTCGCTGTAGCTTGAAACTTGAAACCGTGACCTGGACCCCAAAAGGTTTATGTAGGGTTTAGGGGAACCATAAACCCTAAGCCCTAAACCGTATGTAGAATACTTGCCCTTTATGGGTATTGGGCCATTATTTTACCTACTTTGGGGGGTTTAGGCAGTCTTGAATTCGACAGCAGAAACCCTTAAGTTAGAGATTGGGATTTAGGATACTGTTGAGTTCGAAAGCAGAAACCCTTCATTTAGGATGCTTCATGGCTTACGATGGAGAGCTCTAATCGCTAGGCCCTCACAGCCCTGTGAAGCTACGATCACCTCGACCCTACGCGGTGAAAGCTCCACGCCTCATATCGAAGCCCTCGACAGCATATCGTATCAGTCCGAGCCCTAAACTTTAATCCCTGAACCTTACACCCTGAGCCCTAAACCTTTTACCCTATAGGCCAACAACCCCAACCTTGTAGCCCTCCCCCCCCGGCTTCCCTTTAACGGAACCCCCAAACCCCCCATGGGTTTCAAGCAACCCTAAACCTCCCCTGGGCTTCCTTTTAAAGGAATATTCCGAGAAACCCTCGAGTTTGCCTTTAAGGGGTGCTTTAAAGGGGTACTGTCTCTAGTAGGGTTCGAAACTAGGGGCCTTAATAGTTAGAGTAGGGTTTTGGGGCCCATCCTACTATAAGTCATCACGCACTATATCTTCGAAAGGAAAACCCTGCAAATTTCTTGGAGGAGACCTACGGCTGATGCGCTTGCCAGATTTGGCTGAGCGGCTGAAGGGGTGTCCGGACTCCCTATAGGTTCCCTTCGCACTACCCTTGGAGGAACTCCTAAATCACCTATACTATTTTAGGGGTTCCTTGTGATAATTATAGTATAATGGGGGGTTGAGGGCTTAGGGCTTTAGGGTCGCGAGGGTTTAGGGTTAGGGTTTAGGGTTCTAGGGTTTGGAGGGTCTAGGGTCTTGAAAGGGTAAGTTATTCGGTGGGAAGGTGATTACTAGGATGGCACTTTCTAGTTTGTTGACAAGGATTTATAAGGTTTGTATAGGCTTGCCTGGGCTTGATATGGGACCTCAGCAAACAGAGACCGCCTGCGGCATAATCATACAGAGACTATAACGATATACTGTAGATATAAATCCTGCATGACCTTAAGGACCCTAAACTGTGGGAAAAACGGTACAGGATTTATATCATCAACCGTATGTTGACAGTGCACACAAACAAGCCTTGGGGTCCTTAGACCCTGAAGCTTGTATACTAAGCAACCTTACATGAACTTTGGGTTTCGTAACTGACATTTGGTTGCACATGCATTGCCTCTTCTAGCTGTGTTATAGGGGAAGGCCTGCACCGGATGGCTTTGTTTAGGATTTAGGGTTCAGGGTGTCGTTTTTGAGTTCTCTTCCTTGGTGGAGTACTTCAGCTGGCATTCAGGATTTAGTTAGGG